AATTCAAGTGCCTCCACAATCGGTCCCCGCCCTACCTATCGGACCTTATCACAGCTCCGACCTCCTGCCCCGGCCAGGCCCAGCTCCTCCCAGGCTCCAGAACCTCAGAGCCCATTCCAACTTTGCACGTGGGCCAGCCCCGTGCCCCAGACCACCTTCTGCCTTCCTCCTCTGCCCCTTCTGATGCTAACCCTCCTTCTTGGCTCAGCTGATAGGCCACCTATGCCCAGAAGCCTCCTGGACCCTTCAATCCATCCTGGTCTTCTCTGATCTCCCACCAAGCTTACTGTTGGTCGTTTTTGTATTTCAATATTGAATGTTGTGTTATGTTAATACATGGCTCTCCCCTGTCCAGCATGATGGGTTGAAATGAACATAAACCTCTTGGATCTGGATCCTGGGCTGACCTCCACTGCTTCCTAGCTATGATACTATGGCCTCAGCTGTGAAATGGAGGTAATAGCGCCGATCTCACAGGCCTGTTATGAAAATTAAATAATAGGTGCCAAGTGGCTGGCACATAGTAAATGCCCAACAAATTGTCACTAGGATGGCCAGATACAATACAGGAAACTCAGGTGAACATGAATTTCAAATCAACTGGGGTTTTAGGGTTTTTTTTAAGTGTATTTGTCTACCCCAATATTACACAGGGTTTCTCTGCAACATTCCACAGATAAATAATATTGAGGATCATTGTTCATTTTGTTAGATGTACTGATGAAATCGGAGATAGACTGATATAGTCAATCCTTCTTATTCCTAAATTGTTATCTGCAAACTCATCTACTTGCTAAAATTTATTTGCAACATCAGAATCACTATCTTTGCTTTCACAGTCACCCACAGCTGTGTGTATGCACAGAGCTGCAGAAAATTTGACCCAATATGCAGATTCCCAGCTGAGGCTGAACAAGGAGACTCTCTGCTTTCCAGTTTCAGCTCCCATGTCACAAATAAGAGTGCTTTTGAGCTCCAGTTTAGTGCCATGATTTTTGCATTTTTGTGCTTTTTCTTGGCGATTTAGCTGTTTAAAATGGCTCTCAAGTGCTTTTTTTTTTTTTTTTACAGTTGCTGCGATTACTTATTTCAGATTACTATGAGATTACAAACAATTAGGTTACATTTTTTGCATTAGTTAGGTAAAGTCCAAGTTGTAGTTGAGCCCTTCACCCAGGGGCTATATACCCTTACATTATACCCATTAGTTGAGAGCTTACCAATCCTCCTACCTCTTCCCCTGTCCCCACCCCCTCTTCCCCCTCTCCCCACTTGAATTTAATTATGTTTTTCTCTCATGTGGGGATGTACTATGTTTCCCCGAAAATAAGAACTACCCCCAAAATAAGCCCTAGCAGGATTTCGATGCATTTGTTAAATATAAGCCCTAGCCCATAATAAGACCTAGTGGTGGGCGTGGCTATGCACCGTATCTGCATTTCAGAGCTGAGCGGTAAGGAAGACTGGAATACCTTTTATCTGCCAAGGCTCCTTTCTCCAAGCTGTTCGCACTTGCGTGGGTGCTCGTGTAGTAACCACGGTTTCAGGCATCCTGTTGCACGCGTGAAAACAGCTAGGGGAAAGGAGTTTATGCATCACTAGTGATGATTTAACTGTATTTGAATAAGTGTAGATTGTTGTATTATACTTAATAAAAATAAGACATCCCCTGAAAATAAGCCTTAGTGTGTCTTCTTGAGAAAAAATAAATATAAGACAGTGTCTTATTTTGGGGGAAACACGGTAGTTGTTAATCTATTGGTTTCATATTAGTATCGAGTACATTGAACACTCACTTTTCCATTCTTATGATACTGTACCAAGAAGAATATTTCTTCAACTCCAGGTTAATTCAAAAGATGTAAAGTTTCTGTCTTTTTGTGGCTGGATAGCATCCCACGATATACATGTGCCATAGTATATTAGTCCTTTCATGGGTTGATGGGCACTTGGGTTGTTTCCACATCTTGATGACTGTGAAATGAGCTGCAATAAACATTCAAGCACAAATGTCCTCATGGTAAAATGATTTTTTTTCTCCTGGGAAGAGGTCTAGTAATGGGATTACAGGTTAAAATGGAAGGTCTATTTTTAGTTCTTTGTGGATTCTCCATACTTCCTTCCAAAGACCTGTATTAATTTGCAATCCCACCAGCAGGGTAAAGTGTTCCCTTCTCTCACATCCATGCCAGCATTTGCTGCTTAAGGACTTTGCAATGTGGGTTATTCTCATCGGGGTTAGATTATATCTCAGGATGGTTTTCATTTGCATTTCTCAGATGATTAGGGAAGATCAGCATTTTTTCATATGTTTGTTGGCCATACCTCTGTTTTCTTGGGAGAAGGTTCTGTTTATGTCTCTTGCCCACTTGTAAATGAGATTGTTTACTCTTTTTTTGTTGAGTAGTCTGAGTTCTCTGTAGATTCTAGTTATCAGCCCTTTGTCAGATTCATAGCATGCAGCTATATTTCCCCATTCTGAAGGTTGTCTGTTTGCTTTAGTTGTCATGCCGTGGGGTGTACAGAAGCCTTTTAGCTTGATCACGTCCCATTTATTTATTTTTTGGTGTTGCTGCAATTGTCAAAGGGGTCTTCTTCATAAAATCTATTCCCAGGCCAATTATCATCAGGAGTTTTTCCCACACTGTCTCTACTTATAAAAATTGACTCTCACTGGATAAAAGATTTAAATTTAAGAAACATTCCATGTAAATGTTCTTCTGCTCAGAAGCAGGATGCTGATACTTTTAGATAGGAGTCTGACAGCCTCTTTATTTGGTAACAAATTAATAAACTTTTCTTTCCTTTTCCTGGTGGTTCAGAGGTCACCTTGGAACCAGAGTCCTACTGCACATGCAGACCTGCCACGAGCCTCTCTGGCTCCCGAGTGCTTAAGCGCTGTCTAGTGTTCTTCAGCCACGAAATGGGCCTTACTGGAGAATTGTGTGTGTTAGATAACCTTTGTTTAGGTAGAAGTGCTGCTGGCTATGAGTTCAGTGTTCAATTCTGTAAGGTGTCTTCAAACAGGAACACACATAAAATGAGGTTAGATACTGATCAGTTGATGAAAAAGTCATGACCGGAAGGTCACAGAAACCTAACCCTGTATCTTCCCTGAGAACAATGGTTCAGTGTTCACAAAGTCAGTGTTTGCGGTAACTTCATAGAACAGACCTATCTCAAATAATGAGAATCTATTACACAGTTGATACACATATATGTATAAAAAGGGGAATAAAAGTGTGTATATGGAGAATTCAAAGGAAACAAGATAGCAAAGGTTGAAAGTTGTGGAAGCAAGGATTTATTAGACAATTCTATTTTTATGTATGTTTGAAAATGACCATAACAAATGGTTTAAATGCACATAGAGGATAAGATCTTGAGGAAGAATCTCTTATTCAGTAGCTTTTGCTTCAGACCCACTGTGAGGGCTCCAGATGATGTCATCTAACATCCCAAATCCTTCAGCGTTTTGAGCTGGGATTTAAGAGACCTGGGCTCTAGTCTCATCCCCATTTCAGACTTGCTTGGTTACCTTTAGCAACTCCCAGCACCTTTGGGCTTATTTTCTTGTGTAGGGACTGGGTCTCACTCTGTCACCCAGGCTGGAATATATAGGCACAGTCAAAGCTCATGGCAGCCTTGAACTTCTTGAGCTCAAGCAGTCCTCCTGTCTCAGCTTCCCAAAGTGCTGGGGTTATAGGTGAGCTACTATACCTGTTCCTGGATCTATTTCCTTATTAGTGAAATAAAGAAGTTGAAATGGTGGCTGGGCACAGTGGCTCATGCCTGTAATCCTAGCACTCTGGGAGGCAGGGGGGTGGGAGGATTGCATAAGCTCACGGGTTTGACACCAGCCTGAGCTAGAGAGAGACCTCATCTCTAAGAATAGCCGGCATTGTGGTGAGCTACTTGGGAGGCTGGGACAAGAGAATCACTTAAGCCCAAGAGTTTGAGGTTGTTGTGAGCTATGACGCCATGGCACTCTACCAAGGGTGACAAAGTGAGACTCTATCTCAAAAAAAAAGTCAAAATGGACAACTGACTTTCCTTCCACTGTTAAAACCTCTAATTCTGGCAGGCCTGGTGGCTTATGCCTGTAGAATGTTCCAGGCAGAGGCAAAGGCATTCACAAAAGCCTGGAAGTTGAAAAAGGTCCAGAATTCAAAGTCTGTCATCATACACAGCGCCATGCGTCTGTCCAGCCTTACTTACCACTCTTACTTTTCACTCACCTTTCCTCCCCGGCGCCAGTCTATGCAACAGAGAACCTGTGCTTAAGGCTCCTTTAAAATAACAAAGTCGGGAGAAAATTTATACTCCCATCACACACACTTTTGCTCATTTCAGCAGAGGAAACTCAGGTTCAGAAAGGTTAAGTCACTTGCTCAAAATCCCACAGGCAGTGAGGGAGTTAGATGGGGTTAAAGGCAGGTCTGCCTGCTGTCCTCCACACCGCACAGGACACACAGTGACTTTGGTCAGGTGTCTGGGAGAGGCGCCTCCTTACAAGTTCCTGCATAGCATGCTTTTGCTCTGCAGTGACGCCTCACATTTAACTTTGACAAAGCTGAGGTCAGTTTCCTCTGGGCCAGGGCCATTTAAGTCTGGTCGCCCCAAGCGTCCCCTGTCTCCCAAAGCTAAAAACTTTTCTGTCTCGGTTCTACTACAATCGTGACTGTATATGTGACGTTTAGCAGTAAACTGTATCTCATCTGTAAAATGGGTCTTGCGAAATTGTTTTGAGGATTAAACAACAACTGAGTCTGTGCAGAAGAGCTGTTCGCCTACGTGTCCGGGTAGAACAGTAAAGTCAACAGGTTACCTGGGCCTAAGCCGGAGCCGCACCAACCTGCGCAAAGAACTACGTCTATAGGCCGTGCGCAGGCGCACTACGCCAACACCCGGCGGACTGGCCTGCGAGGGCTGCGGCTGCGCACTCTGCCGGCTTTGCGGCCGCGCTGCTTGACGGCAGCGAAGTCTACCTCCTGGCCGGCGTTGCTGGGGTAACGGCGAGCGCGTGGGGCAGAAGAAGGTAAGGCGTCCGGTGTAGCTGAGCTCGGCGGCCCTTTTATGGTAGAGGGATGGCGCGGCCGTGGGGGACCGCGTTCGTCCGAAAGCCTTCCAGGTCGAGGACGAAAAGGGCCCAGGGACTTTTCTGCGGTTGCATAGCTGGATGAGACGGCCAGGATAGGAGACAGGCTGCTTAAGTTGGGCCGGGCGTTAGCTCCTCGGCTTCTCCTCACATCTGCAACCTTTGCCCCTTCTGAAAACACTGAGGCCCCCCCACAGTGCTGGGGGCCGGGGCCGCCAAGGTCCATCTGACGCTCTGCCGCGAGGAGCCTCACTTCTAAGTGGTGTTGGAGCAGGTGCAAGTTCGAGGGAAGAAGCTAAGGGTTAAGACCAGGAGTTACGAATTCGTCCCGCCTGTAACTCTTTCTGGCTTGTGCTCAGTGGTTTATTGCAGTTGCAGCTACTCGGGCAAGCACTTTACAGGTGGTGGGCCCTGCCCTGTTCGAGGCGCCTTCCCCACAGTTACCTAGCTCATCCTCACACCAGTGTTCAAAGGCTTATTATCTATTTATGTCATTTCTCGGGTTCCAACTTGAAAGGTCCCCAGAGGCAGGACTGTTTACCCTATTTCTTTCATCCCTGGCTCTCTGAGCCCAGGAGGTACCCAGATGGAGCTTCAAATGTGTTTTTTTAGTCCTTTGCTGGCTGGGAGAGTTTAACCAGGCTTATTTGGCACCCGGGTCAAGGGAGTTGGAAAACTAAATGGAGCCAGCTGCCCCCTTTTTGTTTGCCTTTCAGGTAGATATTTACTGAGTACCTAAAAGGTGTTAGGTTGTCAGGTCAAGGCAAGAATGAAGAACAAGGCCTAGCTTTTGACGGAAAGTAAGTCTCTTCATGCTAGAGTCAGGCATGCCCAAGTTTGGGAAGAGAAGTCAGAATTCCTTACAGGTGCACTTAGCTCCTAGGAGTCGCTTTCTTCATCTGTACAATAGAAATAAAAATAGCACTTACCTCAGGGAAGGGTTGGGATTGAGTTTGTATAGAGCACATTGTCACCCCTGATTGGCCAGGTGTCAACTGGTCCACTCCAGAAATTATGATCCAATTAATTGCAGGTATAGTCTGGGCATTAAGATTTGAGGGTGGCTAAATTATGTACCACTCCCAAGTTAATTTTCTTAATCTGCTCTTCAGTCATCATTCTCTGCACAAGAACCTGCAGTAACTCCCAAGACTCAACCAGCCTTTGCATCCCAAATCTCCTGACTACCAATCCAGTCTTCCCTATGTTTTTTTTTTATGTGTGCTTCAGGTACGGCTTCTCTTTTGTTTGTGAATTAAGGGTAGTACGATCAGCCCAGCCCTTAATATTCACAGATCCCAAATCTACAAAGTCATCCAACTTCAGATCAAAAATACAATTGAACCTCTGTAGGATGACCACCTAAGAGACTCTAAAACTGGTCAATATACAGAGGCAGTCAACATAACTAGGCCTACCGTACTGATATGTATATGTGGTGCATGTCTGATCTATGAAAATTAGGTCAACTTAAAGTGGTCAATTCAGGGACATGGTCAACTGTAGAGGAGCTACTGTAATTCCATAAAACCTACCCTTTTAAAAAGTACAGTTCAATCGTCTTAGTATATGTTCACAGAATTGTAAAACCATCATTACAGTCTAATTCTAAAACATTTCATGGGCTGTGCCTGTGGCTTAAAAGGGGTACGGCACCGGCCCCATATGCTGGAGGTGGCAGGTTCAAACCCAGTCCCGGCCAAAAACTGCAAAATAAATAAACAATAAAACAAAACTGCATTTAAAAAAATAAATAAAACATTTCATTGCCCTTTGTTCACCTGTATCTACAAGTGATCGCTATCCATTTCTCATGGTCTCCTGGTGACCCCTAATTTATCTGTTTTGCCCATTCTGGACATTGTGTGTTAGCGGCTCATATGTGGTTGGTTGTGTCTAGATTCTTGGTGTAATACTTTCAAGGTTTATTCATGGTGCAGAATATATCAGAACTTCATTCCTTTTTCTGGCCAAACAATATTCCATTGTGTGGATAAACCACATTTTGTTGATCTAGTTATATATTGGTGGAATTACACTTTTTCATTTTTATGAATAATACTGCTGTGAACATTCATGTACAAATGTTTTCATGAACGCATGTTTTCTCTTGGACCTATACTTAGTGGAATTGCCAGATCATATGGTAAGTGTTTGACATTTTGAGTAATTGCTAGACTATTTTCCAGTTCTGTTCAATTTGAAAGAAACTGGGCTTAGAGGCTTAACTGGGTCTGGCAAGGTCACACAGTAATACTGGCAGCTTTACGTGTAAGAGAGACCTCTCGTGAGCTTCTTGTGTGTGCAGTCACGTAAGCAGAGTGATGCTAGAACCTGGATCGTGAGGTTTAACAGGTATTTTGTGGCAGGGGCCCTTCCACTTCACACACTTAAGTCAGAGTGTAGAATTAACGTGCCAGAGCTCGGTCTTAGCCTTTTTTAGAGTGTGACAGCAGCCTGAAAGGAAAAATCCTGAGCAAACCAGGCAAATTAAAATACAACTTTCCATTTTTATTTGTCAAGAGAATTTAATTGGAACTTCTCGATTCCAAATGTAATACGTGCAAGTCAAATGAACAGAGGTGAAGTCGTAAAAGTGAAAAATCTCAGAAAAGTCCAAATTGTTCTTGGAAATCCCTCAAAAGTTACCTTACTAGAGGCCAACATCCTGCCCCCCAAAAGCTAACCCAATTTTTGTATCTTCAGTTGAGTTCTAGATGTAACTGTTGGTTTGGATTGAGGAATAAGTCAGCAAGTATGGTGGACGTCTAGTCAGATGCCCTTGAAAGAGAATCTCTTATGTTTCCTGTGGACATGCAGTAGACATGGTTTTGTTATAAATACAGTATATCAACGCATATGCATAAATCTGCAGTGTACACAATCATGCTCAGTATGTAATTCCATTGAGGAACCTTATTTAGAAATTATTCTAGTGTGTTGCTGCTTGGAACACTTTATCAAGTCTCGGGGGCTCCAACTTGCTGACTTGTCTTGTTTCATAGTCATCTTTGTAATTCCTTTCTCAATCCCTCTGAACCTTCCTTTGTCCACTGTGGAGGGTTGAGCGTCATGCTGATAGTAACATGTAGAGCAGCAGTTCTCAACCTGTCCGACCCACAGGAAGGGTATTAAAGGGCCACGGCATTAGGAAAGTTGAGAACCACTGATTAGATAATCTTTATGTTTTCCCCGGGTGAGGTCTTGGAGCTGTGAAGGTTAAATGTATGCATGATCTGGCTCCACTGTGTCTTTAAGCACCAGATAAGCACTCAGTTGAAATCAAGTCCAGGCTCGGTGCCTGTGGCTCAAGTGGCTGAGGCTCCAGCCACATACAACTAAGGTGGCGGGTTCGAATCGCCAGCCTGGGCCCGCCAAACAACAATGATGGCTGCAACCAAAAAAT